TAACTTTATTAAAGTTTAAAAAATACCAGTTTGATTTTTTTCCAGTTATTTAGCAGAGCAAATAATTCATAGTTACAGACTCTTCCATGTCTTTCCATGTTTTCATATTCCAGTTTTGAAAGAATACTAGGAACCATTGGAAGAAAGTGGGTGGTCTACCCAAAGATAGTTTTTCATGTTCTTACTATTTCAGGAACTAGAACCTACAGATCACTTCCATAATAAATAGTAGCATATTGATTTTACTAGCCTAAAAAATCTGATCATGTCAACTTTCACTTACTTCAACAAATCAGACCTGATTGGAACATCAAGTTGACAAATACCTGATTTCTTTAAATCTCTGCCCATTTTCAAAGATTTTTAAAGTGAATATTAGGACCAGAGAGGGTGAACTAGAGCTGTAGAGCAACTTAGTCCCATGTGGGACATCTCTTGTTTTCAGAAACGGACAAAGGAAAATTTTAGATTAGGCATAGTCTGTGTGCCCAAGTGTGTCAATTAAAGGCACTAAATTCAAAAGTGTATGTTTTAAAAATATTTTGTCTAATGTGTACACTTTCATTACTACAATTTTCATGCAAAATAACGTTTTTTGAGAGTAATTTTGAACATTTTCTTCCAGATACTATAAATTTCTCTTTGGACTAGTGTGTGTCAAGACTGCAGTTCATGTTAACGTTTGTCTTTACCAGTACCTCACTTGAGGTTAATAGGAGTGGCCAGCAGTTAGTGCAGTGTGACCTTATCACACACACAGTGAACACCTATGGATTGATTGAAAGATAAAAGCTTGACTGTTTAAAAAGTTTCAGCAGAACTAAGTACCATATTTGAATGTGAAATTATCACAGAACCTGTAAATCCTAAATCAAATTCATGTGCCCAGCTCCTGTTGAATTTTAGGAAAATAACGAGATAGCTTAGGTTTAACACCTACTTAAACTGGGAACACTAAATAGAGTTTGAAGGGTTAATGAATTGATGATACATTTTAACCAGGATTACTGTTTCAGCTCTTAAAACAGAATTTTAAAACATCAGCAATGAAACATACTTATCAAATAGGATAGCTTATATGAAAAAAGAATTTGAAGATTTGAGCTGCTTTTGTTAAACAATAAAGTGTTTTGAGAATGCTACCATGTAATGATTATTCTAGTTTTTACCTGGAAATCCACGTGATTTTCAGGCTCTATAGTTCATATGAAAGTCCTCTCTACTTATTAAACTTTAAAAAGTGGCTTTTGAGGAATTAAGACCTGTAAAGACAGTTTTTACATTATTCATATTAGAAACATTGCCTAACTGAATTGTAAGACACTTAGAATATTTAATAGGAAACACTCAAATGGAATAGAATAGTTATATTCTGCATGCTGTCAAGGTCTTTTAGTTTACATCCTTCTAAAGTTTGCCTTTAGATATTTTTCTTGGTATTTAACGTTTTGCTATTTAACAGATTCAACAACTTTTTAAAAGTTATCTTTTTGTTTGAATTGAATAGTTCATAAAAATACTAGAAAGACTTTTTCAAGAACTCATAGACAGCTGTTAATAGAGAGTACTAGTTACCAGTTTCGTCTATTGGCTGAATGTTAACAAACCCAGCCTGATGCTTGTTTTTGAATGGCCCATAAACTAAGAATGATTTTTACATATTTAAATGGTTGACCAGAAAACAAAAGAAGAATATTTTGTGGCTCATAAAGTCATACGAAATTCTAATTTCAATACTCACTAAGGTTTTTTATAGTACATGTTAAGCTCATTTGTTTATATATATTGTCTGAGGCTGCTTTCAGGCTACAATAACAGGGTAGTTATAATTGAAACTGTGGCTTCTAAGGCCTAAAATAATTATTTTCTAGCCCTTTACAGAAAAGGTTCTCCCTCTGAATTAGATGATCCCTAACATTCCTTTCCAGCCAATTTCTATACTGTCCATTCTGTGATTGAGCACCACTTGGAAGTTTTTAAATGTGAGCAGAGCAGAATTAGGGAGTTTAAACATTTCACCAGGGTAGAGAATGGAGGAATGAATGTAGGGAAGTAGGAGAGGAGATGGCAAGGAGAACATTTAGAGGCAGAAGAGGGGAATGGTAGTTTTGGTTGTTGTGTATCAGTGTTATTAACAGATCTTTTGCTTGAGAGGAATATAAAGGCTATTAAAGTAAACTATATAGTGTGTATATTCAGTCCTTAGTAACCTGGGAAATAATATACTATAGTTGAAATCTTCTATAGCTCCCTAGAAGTAGAGAAAGGATACTTCTATTCTGATAATACTATAGGAATATTGCCAATATTATTATCTCCTGATTAATTCTCCCACAGTCGTTGAATGTTCCAGATTCTGGTATCTGTCCATATACTTTATAGAATGTTTAGTCTTCCCTTTTGGATCACTCTAATTTCCGGTACCCCAAAATTATGTAAAGAATCAGTTTGACTTGTGATTCTTCTCCCTTCCTTGGTTGGTCCATGCATAGGAAGTATATAGTATGAGTTGACTCTAGTTCTTTTGAATTTTGAAGATAATACCTCACACAACCTAGAAATTTGGTTGACTCTCAGTTGAGTGACGTGCAAGTGTTTGACTACTTTTGGGAAGGAAGGAGGCAGGGTAAGGTGATGTCTGGGTCTTAGATCTAGGCAGATAATTCCACACTCTCTACAGTCTGTGGATATTGGCATTAATTTGTTGCTTATTTTTCTTTAAGGTTATATTTCCTTTGAAGAAAAGCAAACTGCTATTCTAACCCATATTCAGTCTACTGTTCAATTTCTGAATGAAGAGTAAAGGAATTGGGTGTATTTGAATGTTAATCTTTTCAATAACTTCAGAACGTTGCATGCTCCTTAAACAAGTTTTCCATGGTAAACTGGCATTTATGGTGGTAAATGCCATTTAAAAAAATCTGTGTGCTGTTCTTTTTTATTCTCTGATCCACTAAGGAGTAATCTTTACTGTCACCTTTATTTGTTTCAATTTTAAGCAACAACTTCTCATTTCTGTATTCTTTGATTTTGGAGAGCAAGACATATTTAGCTGTAGAAACGATCATTGTGTAAAGTTTGTTTATGTTCTGGGTCTTCATCTTTTCAAATTTTGAAGAGCTAGAATTTTTTTAAAAAATTTCAGGTGGCAACTTTTACTTTTGTGTCTTCATTCTTGAAAAAGACCTTTTTGGACCATCTTCACTTACGGTATCTTCTGAAAATGAAATTACACCATTTAAAAATCAGCCAGCTGTACACTCACTTTAATGTTACATTTGAATAACAAGCTGATATTAAAAATCAATGATCATTTTGTATACATGTAATTTGCTCTGCCCAAACTTTGGTGTTTGCTTTCCATTTAATTTATTATGTATTAAAATAAAAATATTAAGAATTCTAGAATAATCAGAATTCACACCCGTGAGGTAAAATTTAAATGTGAATTTTAGTCCTCAGTAGCTGCACACAACTGCCTTATATGTTTAAGAAAATATTGTTGGTTTCTGGGACTCTTAAATTCTGTCTTTTATATCTGATAAATTTTGTCTCTTTTATATCTGATAAAATTGAGTTTGGGCTTCTGCCTTTCTTCAAAATGTATGATATATTTCTTTATCTCATTTTCTAAGAAGTGAAGACACGTTTAGTGATTGTCCAAGAATATATATAGAGAGAGATTTTTCATTCCTGAGGTGGAGCTTTATGAGTATAATGGCTGGAAATATGAATTCAAGGCCTGTTATATTTAAAAATGAAAAATGCTTATTTGTCCCCAATTCTCCAGATTTCTCTCTGGGGAAAAAAAATTATTTTCTTATTTATTTTTGTATTAATACTAACCTAGGAAACAAGAATCAAGGGTTCTGCATTGGTTATTTCACTTACACAAAATAAAGCCTTCTTTGGCCATTCCTTTGCTCTGTTCATAGCATAGCTTGCTGAGTAAGTATGGGAGGTATCTTTGCTGTTTGGTACTTCAGCAGTTTCAGTTTATCAACCTGTAGCTAACAACCTGTTCTGCTTTTTTTACAGATTTATTTCACAGAGCAGTGTATTTTCTTGTCCTCCAGGGGAACTTCAACATGGAATTGCTTTTGTTCTCTAAATTTTTATTGTTTTCGAATTATGATCTACAAGTTCAACTGGTTCTTTTATATTCATCTTACTCAGATCTTTCACTTAGGATCCGCTACCACTTCCTCCTTTAATTTGGATCTTAGCTACTATAGAAGGCATCAGACCTTTACTTGTTAGTGCTGTTAGCCACGCAAAATGTTGATTCTGTTCTGTAGTAGGGCTCTCAGCCTAGGCCATGAGTTCCTAGCATAGTATTTGGCTTTCACAGGAAACATCCACTCAAATGCTCTAGAATGCCAATTCCTGCAAATTTTCCTAAGTAAGGCCAAAAAAAAAAACAAAACCCCTCAGCTTTTCATATCTCCAGTCTAATGATAAATTATTTTAATGTCAGGACATCCTTCTAAACTTCCACTTATAGTGTCACATGTTAGCATAAAATCTGGCTTGTCGGTAAGCCATTGCACACCTTTGTTTTTAGGAAGCCAATTGTTATGAATGCCATGGACAATTTCAGTACATGTTTGTTTGTTAATGATTTTACTCAAGCTAAAGGAATGGATTATTAAAATTAAGTGCAGATAATATAGAATTCAGGTTAAGTCTGAAGTTAGCATAAATTTAAGTTCTTCAGACTAACAAAAAAATGATTTTGAGAAGTTAAATAGGAAGTTGCCTTTTTTTAAAGTTTACTATATTGATTTTTAAATTATCTCCCAAATCTTGCTTAGTAATCAAATGTGCATAAGAGAGAAGTTAGTTACAGAGCTAGGATGAGTAATTCCTTCTTTAATGAAGACTTGCTGTAAATCTGTATACTCTTTCATATCACCTTCAGATAGTTAGTCAGTTCGGCAGGAGCAGAGACCAGATGAAAATGCTAATGGGATGTAATTCAGTGTTTTTGTGTCATACAGCCTGAGAAATGCCAGTGGCCTGACAGCAGCAGACATTGCTCAAACCCAGGGTTTCCAAGAATGTACCCAGTTTCTCTTGAACCTCCAGAATTGTCATCTGAACCGTTTCTATAATAATGGCACCTTAAATGGGGGCCATCAGAATATATTTCCTAATCATGTTAGTGTGGGAACAAATCGCAAGAGATGCTTGGAAGATTCGGAACCCTTTGGAGTGAAGAAAGCTAGAACTGAAGGTGAGACCACTTTGTAGGGTGGGAAAGAGCAGACTTTTTTTTTTTAACGTGTTTTCTTTTTTATGGCTGAAAGCACCTCAAGATGAGACCTTCACTTAAGGTGGCACTGTGCCTGGAGGATTCTGGTGCAGTGATGGTGGAGTTTTTCCTGTGTTACTACTTTGAAGATTGGCCATTTACAGAAAGGGAGGATATCAGGGGGCATTGTTGACAGCTCACATGTGAACGTGTGTATATAACTGTTCTGCACACCGTGGTTTACCTGCCATGAATTAGAAAGAGTTTTCTTGTTTGTTGTACCTGTTGGAAATATAACTATTAAAAAAATTTTGCCCCTGTGCCTGATTTTTTTGTTTCATGTAAATGTCCCTGAGCTTACAACAATTGTTTGTCTGGTAGTAAAACATAGTTTCACATCTGGGAATGTAGGTGTTTGCTGTACTGTTCCACTTGCACTGTAATTTGGCCTCAGCTGGTCTCAGTGCCCCACAGTGTAGTGTGTATCATAAGACCTGGTATGTCACTTTGACATTGAGGACTTAAATCTCTAAGGTAAGTCAAGTTCTAGGTGTTATTCTGTTTTTTTTTATCTTTAGTTTTGAAGTTTGCAAATAAAATCAGCTAGTAACTCTAAGTTGGGGAAAAAACCTCCCTTTTATCTAGGAAAAAGTTATATATATGTATATCTCTGTGTAAAATATCTTAATAGCTTAGCAGGACAAATTAATAGCTTGGCAAGAATATTTAGCAAACTTAGAAGGAAATTTAGAGATGACAGTGAAAAGTAATTCTGAAGTTACACGCTCAGATAAGATTTGCTAAAAATACAAAGTTGTGCCCTTTGGCTTTAAAAAAAAAAAAAATCAACTATGCAAGTATAGTATTAGAAAACCCTGGCTGGCTAGAGGTTTTAGCTGATTTTAAATTTGATGTGGGTCAACATCTCTCTTCAGTGCTTTGTCTCTTTTTTTTTTTTTTTTAAATATATCTTTATTGATTTCAGAGAGAGGAAAGGAGAGGCAGAGAGAGAGATAGAAACATCAATGATGAGAGAGTCACTGATCGAGCCCACAACCCGGGCATGTGCCCTGACCGGGAATCGAACCCCAATCGCCTGGATCCTAGGTCGATGCTCATCCACTGAGCCACGCCTGGCCGAGCAGTGCTTTGTCTCTTTAACCAGAGTATATCCAGACAAAAACATTTTTGTTATGACAATAAAAATTATAGTATCTATGTAACTTAAAATCTTGGTCACTATAAAAACTTGTGATTATGTGACTTTTTTGTAGAAATGAATATATAAACTTAAGTGTAATAGTTTATCAAATTCATAGTGTTCATAAGTTATGAGCCCAGTAATCTAGAAGGTGCTATAATAAAGCACATAAGGAGGTATGTCTACACTTTAAAAGTGGTGTTTTTTAATGAAGTGTTGCTCAGCATTATCATTTATTTGTAACATGTTTCAGTATATTTTTTCTAATGTATTTTAAAATCTCTTAAAAATACTTTAAAAAACAATTAGTTTTTGTTTAATGCCTGATTAATATTTTGGAGTGGTATTAAGTGTTAGCTTCATTGTGCCCTCATGCAAGAATTGTATGAGTCTGTGACCATGAGTGTAGGCTTGTAGGATAAATCTTAAATTCTGTTTGTTTTTAAAAGGATTGTCACTTAAATTCTAATAAGATGCAGAAATGTACCTAGAGAGTTTTTAAAACTAGTTTCTGAAGGTTTTACAGTGAGCTGATTTGGCTAGTATCTCTGTTTTAAGCATCCTAGGTTTCCTAAATCCTTTTACTATATAAATTTGATTTGAAGCATCATGCAGGTTTTCAGGGCATTTTATTTTCCTTCTCAAGATAAGGATTCATTTTGGTGAACCAGGGTTAGCGATTCACATCTTGCACACTAAACTCACCATGCAGCCTTCCCAAATTGCCATTCCTAACACTCGGCCTGAGGATGTCAGTTCAGAAGACAGTGTGCTTGACGCCTGGCATTTAAGTTTGCAGGTAATAATTATGCAAACCTAAGGTTGAGCACTGTTCCACATGTACATGAAGTGATAATACTCGTCACCATCACCGGAGGAATCATTGCTTGACACCAGGTGAACTTTCATAGCTCCTCTTCCAGTGTTCATCATTTGTCTACTGAGCATTATTTTAATTATTTACTCCTTAAGTTTTATAATACTCCAGTCCTTGGCAGTGGTAGTCCTAAAATTGTTCTGCATGTCACTTAAGAGAGTGTGTGTATAAGTTCATATTTGTAAGCATAGATAAGCACACCTGTCGCCACTCCTCTCTTTGGGAAAGGAAGAATTGATTTTTTTCATTTTACCATTTACTTGCTGTAAACAGTGTATTGGGGCAGTAATTCTTAATCACTAAAACAAGATTCCCCCTTCCCCCCAACTACCTGAATGTTCTAAGTGAAGTTGTTCTTGGATTTAATAGCTCTAGTTATATCCATTCTTTGACCAGGTTTTTAGCATGTAATTTTAGATTGGTTGCCTTAGTTCATTTAATTTCTGGCATTTTGTTTTGATTTGCTATTTAAATATTTGAGCTTAAGTCTCTGCTCATTCTGAATTTTTTTTTTTTTTTAAATCCTCACCTGAGTATATACTTAGAGGAAGGGAGAAACACTGATCAATTGCCTTCCATAGGCTCCCTGACTAGGGATTGAAGTCTCAACCTACGTGCCCTGACCCGGAATCAAACTGGCAACTGTTCAGTACATGGGGCAGTGTTCAGCCAACTGAGCCATTCCAGCCAGGCCTCAATTCATTCTTTAGATAAGTTTTTGGTTCTCATGACAAAAGTATTTTTTCCCCTAATGTAACATGCATATAAAATTTTTTAAAATAACTTCACATGTAAAAGTATTTGGAAGAGTTTAAAATAATTTCTCTTTTGAAGTACAGGTTTGGCTTTTTTTATGGGTTCCTGAAATAATATCTTGGCTACATAAATGCATAGTTTGAACTACCTCTTAGAGATGTTCCCTGTAAAATTCACTCTTTAATTTTTTTACTTTGGTACCATGAATCTGAAAGTTACCTATTCTCCACAGTAAGGAGTTCAAGAAACCATTTTCAAATATTTTAAGGTAATTGGAGTGATTTTCCCTTGGAAACTATATTGATGTAAAAGAACTAAAAGGAGTAGTAATTCCTTGTCCTTTTTGTACTGCTCAAATATAAACTGTCCTTTGGAAGCAAGTTGTACTACAAAAATTCATACCTTAAAAGATCTTTCATGCAGTCATGTTTATCAAAACACTTTGGTCAGAACATAGACATCATAGATATGGCCTTAAACTCTGGAGGGTGAAATAAAATCCAAAGTTATTTGAGCGGCTGATTTTGATGAAAAGTGCTTTGGGGTAATATTTCTCAAAATGGGGTTTTGTTTATGATGGTACAAGGAAGTATCTATGTAATTAGGTTTAGGGGTTCCCCTCCCCATTTATAAACCATTTGCTCAATATGGAATAACAGATGGACTTCCGGACTTCAGCTGGAGCTGCTTTATAAAAATCATTTAGTTTTATTAGCATTGTCCTGGACACCTTCCTGAATGGAGCATCTTTCTTGGCTCTGGAGGTCAAGGATGAAGAAGGCTTGGGCAGTGATTCTGCCTATGGGGGAAGAAAGCTGTTTATTTTGAGCCTATCTTAGGGGATTTTTCTGTCATAAAGGTGCAATTTAATGTACTAGAATCTCAACAAATACCTGCTTTGGCAGTCAAAAGGTAAGGGTATTTTACAAAATGTTCAGTAATTTTTCCTTTTAACTAGAAGTAAGGAAAGCAGGAAGGGAAGGTGCTTTTCCAAAACAATCAAAATTTACAATTTTGGAAGAAGACTTTCTGAAATGTTTACAAGCCACCTTTCTCAGATGCAACATGGGATATTTAAATGGTTCCTTTGGCAATGGTGATAGGTATATGTGGGAAGAAAATGCCACAGGTGACGTCTGTGGCTTTCAGAGAAAGGAGTTAAGTCCAGATCCAGTGCTCTTAATATTCTCCAACAGGTCAATTTTAATTTCATGACTTATGCAATTTTAACAGACAAATGCAACCTTAATGCCCCCATCTAACTGAGCACTCCCTATTTGCAAGTGTTGAGAATGAAGATGTGAAGGCATTCGAATGGAATCAATTACCCAGGGTTCTGGGGCAGCTGGATTATCAGCCAAAGTAGTGAAATGTCCTTGCAGATATTTTATGGGAACAACTCTCTAAAAGATTGTGTATCCCCAGGGAAATAATTAAATTCTAGGCTGGCTGAATTAGCATATGCTTACCACATTAAAGAATTTGACTACCCAAATATGAAAGCCTTTGTTCTTGTTTCACTTTTATCTGCTTAATGGAACAGTTTCAGAGGAGAATTCCTAGTGCACTGAATAATCCTCTAGTTAAGGTATTAATTTTTGCTTTAAAATAGGGTTTGTCCAGCTCTATATACATATTTTTTTGAATGTCCCCAAACTTCCTTTGCCTCCGATTCTCTGGCCCCCTAGTGGCAGATCTGCCTTCCTGTCCCACTTCCACTCTTATGAAAAGGACTGGAATTCTTTCGATTTTACTGGTTACTCTAGTTAATAATTTTTGCTTGCTTTCTGTGTTTGTGCTTTTTCTGGCTAGAGAGTAGGTTTCATTCATTGATATTGGTACTATTCTACGCACTGGGCTCAAAGAATGAGTTGACAAATATCCTTTTAGGAAGATTGTGGGGGTGGGGATGGTCTCTGTGTCTCTGTCAGGTTTTTTTAAACCTGCTTTTCACAGATCTGAAATTGCAGCTGTAACCTAGTTGCCACTTTCCCCAAGGAACACTGGCACCTGAATTCCAAAACAAAACCAGACACTTGAGTATAGCTACTTAAAGCTGCATTGTATCCCCAGTGATGTTTCTTTTGCAAGGACATTTGTGGTTTTGCCGTGAACGTCTGCACCAGTTCTCGGTATATTACCTGGTTTGGCTTATCAGGCATTGGAGAGTGCAGAAGCGGGGAAGCCAGACCCCATGCCGGCTGCGGGTTTATCTCTCAAAAGACAGGCTAAGAACTCCCTTAAGGTTGTGTGGAGTCTGTCAAAGTATCTGGGACACCCCTCACCAATCACCCCTCCCCCCTTTTAAGATCGCTTATTTTAACCACTGATCTCTCCAAAGGACTTCACTGTTTGATAGTGAAGATAGAACCTTGCCTATCACTGATTTGGGCCTGTGGAGGATTACAAAATCATTAAGTAGAAGGGACGGAAATCCGTGGTTTAATGCCTCTGACTTTAATGCCAGAGCACCTCTATTTGTAGAATTGTTTTTGGCCTCATACCTGTGCAGACGTCTGTTTTTTCCCAGCTACACAAAATCACACTGTTCTGTTTTTCCCATATACTAATTCAGAATTTTTTTTTTTTTAAGACTACGTTATCATCTTTGGTTTCAACAATTAAGGGAATAATCAGGAATATGCTCATTCCTATATTGAAAATGACTTGTATGCCTCTAAAACTGGAACTAATTAAAGCTGCAAAGTTCAAATCTCTGCTTTTAAGTTATTTGAAAAATATTTAGCATTAAAAGTTGTTACTTATTTGTTGTATATATTCTTTGAGCCAAAAATAATGCTGGTTATTATCTGAATAAAGACTCATAAACATGCACAAAGGTGCCTTTANATATTCTTTGAGCCAAAAATAATGCTGGTTATTATCTGAATAAAGACTCAAACATGCACAAAGGTGCCTTTGNTTTGTTGTATATATTCTTTGAGCCAAAAATAATGCTGGTTATTATCTGAATAAAGACTCATAAACATGCACAAAGGTGCCTTTACAAGGATGTTAACTTTAATTATGGTATTCACGATAGGAAAGAGAACTGAAGCAGCTCAGACAGCGGGGGAATTTGGTGGGGGTGGAATTACAATACAGCCATACAGTGGGTTTTCACTTTAAAGATTCTTTTGAACTTAGCTGATGGGGTGTATTCATGCCATTGTAAACGAATAAAAGCAAAGCATAAAAGTGATTTTTAGGGTATGGTTTTGAAGAAAATACATGCGTAAGACTAGATTTGTCTATCAAAGGAGAGTGGTTGCTCCTGAGAAGTGGGGATTACTAGGGTTTATGGGGAGAAGTGTTTCCGCACAGAGTATGTAATACTTGGAAGAAAAGTGTTTAAATGTGCATATTAGCTTTCCTCCAAGATACAAAGAATGATAATTTCATAAGAAATGTACATATAGCTCCATCTCCAAATGTCTTGGAACTAAGACTTCCATGATTTGTTTTTCCATTTTTATTGTGTCTTGAAGCACAGGAGCTAGTGCCACATGGGGACAGTATTGACAGGCCTGCCCTGTCTTGATTCTTGGCTTTTACCTTATTTCTGTTTCTGAAATCAATGATTTTTTTTTAAACTTGAGATTCATTTTCATGGTTTTTATGTTGTTACTCAAGAATTCTCGTAGTATTTCTTTATGAAAAACAATTGAAAACATTTCGAGGCATAGTATAGAATATGCTGAATTTTTAAAAAAATGTTTGTAAATATGTCCAGATTTTAATTTATGTTGTCCAGAGAACAGCCTTAAATGAGAATTTATGCCATCGGGTAAACCTAGAATAGTTATCTTAAATTCCATGACTTTTCATTGAAACTGCACACTTTGGGAAATACTTTATACTGTGGAAAAGTTTCTCAGTGTACTAAATTCATTCGTCATCTAGATTATGAAATTGATTATTTTGGAATGTTCAGTGCTCTGACAAAAAGAAGTGAGAAACATTTGTCTTAAAGTCTTTTTGTATGTACAGGGAATCTAAAATTGCCTTTGTTTCCTGTGCAGCTCAAAGCTCGGACTACTCCATGCCACTAGTGAACGGCGAGGCAGAAGACGATGCTGACAAAATGCACGTCGACAGAGAGTTTGCTGTTGTAACAGGTGGGAGTGGACAGTTTCCTGTTAGCTGCAACAACAATCCAATGGTCGAAGACACCACACAGCAGGAGGGTGGTTCTGTTGGACCAAAAGAAATAGAAATATATACTGTTTCAGCAATGCAGACCCCTTGTCGTTGCAAGAATCAGTATGCATATTATTTCTAACAGCTGCTTTCAAACGAGTTTTGCACTTTGTTGTCTAGTGTTTCAAAGAATGTTATACATAATTTGCGTATATTGGGCAAGTTTGTAGATACAAGGATAAGTGTTTTTGGTGCATTCTATGGATATGAAAAATATAAGTGCAATCTTTCTATTTTGATTTTAAACTTGCTTAATGTGCCTTGTTTAATTTTAATAAGGTTTTGCATTTTCAATTTCCTGATGGAGGACTTTGAGCAAATATACCGAGTGAACATCTATTGCTAGTAATTTCAAAGTGATAAACAGCAAGAAGGATGACTCGCCATAAACATTGAGAACTAGTTAACATTGTGGTTTTGACTTGTAACCGGTCGTGCCAGTACGGACTCTGTCACTCGACACTCAGTGGTTGCTCTGGTTTCTGTGCCATGCACTCTGGGTCTAGTAAAGTGCTGACCACATGTCTCGCAACACACATTCTATACGCTAACATTAAAATTTTAGTATTGATAGTCATCAGTTTTTAAAAGGCAAAGGCTCAGTTCTTTTAGCTTACAGAATAAAGTTTATCCATTTAGTTAATGCTTTTTTCCTACTGCTCTCTGATTTAAGTGACCATGAAAACATTTTAGGCATTCTTTTGCCATATTAATATATTCAGAAATAGATACTGGCTTTTTAAAAGTTTTATTAGTATGTCTTTATGCTAAATTCTTCACTGGGGATAAAAGATTACATATTTTGTTTCCCAGACTTACATAAAAAAATAATTTCTGTTCAATAAAATGAAATGTGTACATCTTTCCAGAAGCTACAGAATTGTTGTGGGTGGAGTCACCTTTTTGCCAAATAATTAAATGAAACAAAACCCAAAGGCAGCTTTTTAAAAAAATGGTATTGGTACATGCTTTTGCAATGGCAGAAGTAATCACTCTTTAATCTTCAAATGTTAATTCCCTGGGTTTTCAGGTTAAATTTAATACCAAGCTTGAACATAACATTAAAAAAGCCCAGCTCATCCCATATACAGGTACCAAGTGAGCATTCCCATATTTTCCATCATTTCATTTATAACATTATCTGACTGAATAAACAAAAATTTTAAATTGCTAGAGATTACTTGCAGTAGATAAGTAAATGAGTGAGCGGGAAGTGTGAGTCCTGAAAGGCACTTTGGAGCAGAATAAAGGACAGTATTGGAGGTGGCCAGTGATGTGTGAGTCCCGGCCAAGCGTGGTTATGTTTTAGCCAGTCTCTAGCATGTCTGCTATTTTCATGCTCAGTTTTATTAGATTTTTCACAATGATATAAGGTTACCAACTAACCTTGATTTTGACATTGCATAATGGAACTAATTAACTGGGCACTAAAGGAAAGCAGTACACACACAGTGAACATTAAACAAAAAATAAGCCTCAGCTCAGATTTCTGAGGAGGTATTCATTTTACCTTTATAGACCCAGTCACCTGAAAATAGAATTTTCATCTTTGTTAGTAGTATACCAGTTATTAATAACTATCAAACTTGCCACCATATCCATGAGTTTTATCACCCAGGAACAGTTTATACTTTTTAAAAAAAAATTAATATAAATATTTTCCGGGAACAACTTTTTTTCTTTTTATTTCATTTCATGTTTAGTTCTTGAAACACTTGTTCTCTAGCTTTGAGTTTTGACTAAATAGAAAAGCTGTCATTTAATTTTTAAAAAAAATTCATAATCCTCTGAAGAATTTATAGCAGTTGTTAAACTGTGATTGTCACTTAAATTGCCAGAAAATTGATGATTAATGAAATGTGTAGAAGATATTTTTGTTCATTGAACAAGCTATGATTTTTTGTTGGCAGGGAGATTTTCAGGACACAGAATGCCTGTGTTCGAGTGCAAAGTCAGAGGTCTCTAGATGACAAGCCTGAAAGTAGGCCCTTCGCAGGGAGAATCGCCCCATGTGAGATGTTTAGGTGACTGGATGAGCAGAGTGGGTCCTCATCTCAGAACTCGGCTCTTCAGTGTTTATCATCCATCATACCATGCTTTAATAGGGCAGGAGATTGGGATAAAATTTAATACTATCAAGCAAGACATAAATTTAGATCATTATACTGTGCTGTGAATTCCTGTGAACGTGAATATTAACTCTAGTTTCATTATACAGAAAAATACCTTGTAATTGCCTATTCCCATGTGCCCAAACATTTTGTGATTGATTTTTTTTTGGTAAGACATCCTTCTCAATGGATGCAGATTAAACTATCAACATTTTCCAACATAAGTTGTTTTTGAAAGTGGAACCTTGGATGTCATAATCACCTTACTTGCTGAACTCAGAAGAAACCTCAGAACTGCTAGTGGCCCAGGACTGTGTGCACGAGAACCATTAGTTCCTTCCTGTAGTCGCTGTGTTCTGTGCTCTGCGGAGATGCCATGTGGCATTTGGCAGAAGTACTGTGTAGATGTGAGTGTTACAAGGAAAAGCGGTTCCTTTCATATTCCTGTGTGTGCTTTCCTGACTTGCGAGGTGTGACACTGTCTCACCTCGTCCGAGGAGCTGCCTTAATTCACCTGCTTCACAACCACTTTCCTCCTCTTAAGACCTGGAGAATTGTGTGTTTTACTTCCGCCCTTTGTGGGAATCCTAACACTGAGTTCTGCTGGACTTTTTCAGGGTTGATTTTAAAAACCATTCTCTGAAAATAGTCTTAAAATGGGAAGTTTTTTGATGGCTTTTTGGTACCATTGGTATTTTTCATGTAGAATATTTGTCAACTTAAGTTTTTTTATTTTTGACTCCCCAACACTGCTGAAATTTATAAATGTTTCCTTTCTTACCAGGAAAATGCTACTGTTGTGTTTTGTTTTTAAATCTATGTACAGATTTTTCTTTGCAAAAGGAACTGGTTTGTTTAAAAGAAAAGAAACTAAGTCCTTTAAAATTGTAGCAGCAATGCAGCAATTTATAGTTTCTCCTCCCTTCTGGTTCTGAATTTTGGTGACAGGTGTATTTCTCAATGCAGATATGAAAAACAGTAGCTCCGTATCGAATACATTGACAAACGGATGTGTCATCAATGGACATTTGGACTTCCCTTCCACGACTCAGCTCAATGGGATGGAAAGCAGGAATGACCAGTGCTTAACAGGATCTAATGGAATTAGCAATGGATTAGTTCCAGGACGGCCATTTCCGAGTAGCCAGGGTTCTCTCTATGTTAATGGGACCGAGGAGCCAGAAAAGACCATGAGCATTAACCCTGAGATGTGCGGTTCTCTGCACCTGAATGGCAGTCCAAGTAGCTGCATAGCTAATAGACCTTCCTGGGTGGAAGATATTGGGGAAAATTTGCACTATGGACATTACCACGGGTTTGGGGACACTGCTGAAAGCATCCCTGAGCTTAATAGTGTAATAGAGCATTCCAATTCTGTGAAGGTGGAAGAAAGATACGACAGTGCCGTCTTGGGTACCATGAACCTCTACCATGGCTCTTAAAGACAAGTGGTCTGGCTCTGTCTGGAAGCATTAATTCTTCCTAGAAACCAACTCAGAATACTAATGTAGCATCCACTTAAAGGAATGCCATAATTTGTCCTATTTTTTTATACTTTAACTTTCTGAAAAAGTAAACTTGTATTTGACGAATTCCTCGTGAGTCCTAGTGAATGCACGAGTGGAGCTTATTTAGTGCATAGGTGTTTCTTGGATAGCAGACCTCTTAAAAGATGCACTTTGAGAATTTAATTTTTCTGCTGCCAGTCTCAGTATTTCTTCTGAATACTGTCACCATAAATTGGCATTTTTCCTTTTGTCAAATTAAATTGTATCTGATGAAGATAAATTGGAGGCAGTCAGTGAGGTGCTTGGTGATTTAACCCTTTGCACACGGGCATCATTTTGAAAGTTTGCTTTTCCTCCTTCCTGCAGAATTTTTGACAGAACACAGCTCTTTCCCTATGCAAGGTCCAGCCTTACAAAGATGACTTGGAGTGATTTGTATGAAGAAAAGAATATTTGTGCTTTTCGAAGTCCTTTCATTGAAACTTTGCAGCTTGCCTTGTGAAGGTTTACTTGTAGACACACACAGTGGTTTGGATGCATAAGTTATGTCCCTTCTTTCATGATGTAACTCACTCCCTGGATTTCATTGAAAATACACGCACAGGGACTGACTTCCGATTGTTTTTATTACACATTTCCTACTTTGTCTCTAGAATTTTTACCACAGATAACGGTTTCCTTTATATGTAGTGGAAGTTACTATTTGTAGGAACTGTCAGGTCAAAATATTTAACTGACTATTCTGACTTATATTTTCTTTTTTCCTTGTTTTTGTTTTTTGGGGGGTTTCTGCTTTACAATATATACCACTATGTATATTCAGTAAACTGAGAGAATTTTGAACCTCTCTTAATAAAACTGTTAAGTTTATGGTTTTATAGAAATTAGCTTTTGTTTCAGTGACACTGTGGTTACACTGTGCAAATATTGTAATGAGTTTTTACTTTTCTGATTTTTGTAATAAAAATTGGTGAAAATAGAGAAGATGTCAAATGAACAGGCCAATGTTCTAGAGTGTTACTAACATTTTGTTTTTAAACTGTCCTTTACAAATTGAATAAAAAAAAAACCTCTCACACTCGATTTGTTCCTAGGGTGTGGTTTCTTTCCAGGTGGTGGGGGGGGTGTCCGTGGAAGGAGTGGGAAGGGGGAGGTAGAAGTTTATTATTGCCTTTCATTTTGCTTGTGAGATTTTACATTACTCTTCTGATTCCCACCGTATAGTACTTTTTACCACCTTTGGTTTATACTGCAGTTTTATGGACACTTTGTCTTCCTGGATGCGGGCTGAGGAAAGGGCAGGTAATAAAGTGCTGTCAGCTAACAGTATTGTCTTTGCGTTATTTTCATAAGTGACAGCAACCACACTTAACTTACTTGGGTCAGCAGATATTATGAATATAAGCCTTTTTAAAATTTAACTTACAGTTAATAGCCATTCTGGCATGTGTATACATGTTATTTAAAACACTTGTTATTGTATGCGTATTATTGTAAAACTTGAGAGGCCAAAATGAAAAAGCATTAGGCTCTGGAAGTGTCACAAAAATGACTCTCATGAGAACAGGAAAATCTGCTGTGTCACCACTGCCTTCTCCCATGCCCACGGTGGCGTCAGTAGTCAAGCTCCAAACCCAGATGCCTGGGAAACCTTTTTAACAGACTGACCCGAGAAGCCCCCCAAACAAGACAGATGAAACCTAATGTCTTTTATTCCCTCTTGACAATTTTGTATTTCAGAGACTTCCTAGGTGATATTTGCTGGTGAGTGAATCTCTTAAAAAATATGCTGAAGGTCAGAACATTTGGTTTGCTTTGGAAGTTGAACAATGACTGCTTCTTGGGGGTAAAAATATTGCGTGGAATCTATAGTAGGGCAATATCCACACTTCGGTGGGTATTATGCAAAGTTTGTCATATTGTAGTTGAGTCATTGACACTAGTACATTCAGTTCTTGTTGAGAGATACATAAGGAAATTATGATGGAATTATATCATGCCTGGAATTTGCTTCTTCATAATGGAGGAAAGTGAGTGGAGACAAAGCTCAAACGAGATTGGGTGTGAGCTGATGTTGACACTAGGGACATGAAGGTTCTTTCTACTTCGTATATATTGGGCGGGGGGATTTTAGATAGGACTTTAAGAAGAAGAAAAAATGTTCTATATTTTAAAAAATTGTGGACATCATTTTAACACTGATTAAAAATAAGCTTATATTTTGCAATGTTTAACTCACCAAAACTAAGTTCATGCTGAAATACTACAATAGTTCACTGATTCCTAACTTTTTGGTCTGAAGACCCTTTTAGATATGTTTTTGTTTTTGCTTTCAAATTCTCCCCCGAGGATATGTTTCTATTTATTTTAGAGAGAGAGACAAACATCAATGTGAGAGGGAAACATAAATCGGTTGCCTCGTACAGTGCCCCAACCAGGGATCGAACCTGCAACCTAGGTATACACCCTGACTGGGAATTGAACCTGCAACCTTTTGGTGTTCTGGACGACTCTCCAGCCAGCTGAGCCACCTGGCCGGGGCAGATGCTTATATTCTTAAATACTAGTGGCAAACAGTTGGAAAATGAGATTAAAAGTCCATTTATGTAACTCCCAAACTGAAATACCTAGGAATATATCTTCAAAGGTGTTTAAGACCACTACACTAAAAACTAAAACATTGCTGAGAGAAAAAAGGCCCAAATAAATGTTCTGGTTGAGGTCCTTAAAGAAAATCTGGCCTCACCTGGCTGGCATGGCTCAGTGGTTGAATGTCAACCATGATTCAATTCCTGGTCAGGGCACATGTCTGGGTTGCAGGCTCATCCCCAGTAAGGCTCGAGCAGGAGGCAGCTGATTAATTATGACTCATCATTGATGTTTCTATTTCTCTCCTTTTCTCTCTGAAATCAAAAACATTTTAAAAATGTAAGAAAGAAAATCTGGCCTCATAGAGATAATTGAGAAAAGGAGGGATATTTTAATAGCCTTTGGAATTAGTTAATCATAGGTATTTGATGAAACACCAAAACCACAGTGGTAGTTCCTTAAAGTTAATTGCAAAGTTGAATCAGAAACCAGTGTCAATAAATGTGCTGTACTCAGTTACGTAGAATCTGTGTGTCTTGCACTTTGAATGGACTGCTACCCCATGCTTGTTTTTTTTTTTTTTTCCATTGCTTTTCAGAGAGAGAGAAACATTGATGTGAGAGACATCAATTGGTTGCCACCTGCACAAGCCCCAGCTGGGGCTGAGAATCAAGCCTGGAACTGAGGTACATGCCCTTAACCGGAATCGAACCCGAGACCCTTTAGTCCAAGGGCCAGCACTCTCACCGCTGAGAAAACTGGCGAGGGCCCATGCTTGATTTTATAACATTATGCATTAGCTATTTGGAAAATATTCTTTGAGTTCTGCAGATCTTCCAAAGGTTGAAACATCCCATTTATTTAATATTAAAAATCACATACCACTGCCAATCTCATAAAAATCAGACGTTCTTGAGCACATAGTGGTGGATACAAGTTTTGCAACACTCTAATTTTTGCTTGAAAGCTCAAGTTTTATCAAAGACCACAAATACTGTCAGTTGCTTTCCTTGAAGTGGCAGGCTCACTTGGCTAGTCTTTTAAAATCATATCTGCAAAACACTCAAATCTTAATAAGCATAGTTTGTCAATCATTCTTTCAAATAAAAATGATGCTTTCAGGAAAGAAAACTAGTTACATTGTAGCACAACAGCCAGACAAGTGTTTATCCTGGAGACAACCATTGAACTTGGGTGTTCAACAGAAGCCTTTCAGTGTACTTCCCATTTATCACACAGAATGTACTCAGTGGCTGAGATTTAATACAATTATTTTTACTGCATCAAGGACGTTATTAAGCGAAAAAAATCTTTTACTGCACAGCAGAGGGAGGAATATCGTGGTAACCAGGACAGTTGTTGCTAAGGTTTTGAGCCATCAGTGCAAGTGTCAACATAGGGAAGAAGGCAAATCGCATATTGGTGATATACTTGTAACCTGTTGGGTCCCCTGAAACGTCCCGAGACCCCAAGGGTCTGCAGATCACAATTGAGAACTTGAATAACTGCCTTTAGTGTTTGGAGCAATGAGAGCTCAGTGATGGATAAATGCTGGGACTCTAGAGGGGTGTTCATTGAAATACTCTTTCAGCTTTTCTCTAGATTGATTTTTTTTTATTTTTATGAAGACAGGTTCCTCCCTGTCTATAACAGTTTATATTAAACTATAGGTATGTATGATGATAGAGGACCAGCCCCAGATTCTTTTAGGCAGAGGAAGATGAAAGTTTCTTCCTGAGTCTTGTTTCTTAAAAATAACCACCTTAAAACAATATCCCAAAAAGGTATTTTGGGGGGATGGCAAACTGGTTCCCCCAAATGAATGAAATTGACTCAGGCATGTAGGATGTTTATGGCATCTTTTCCCCTGTTACAAATAATGCAGGAATGAACATCTCTGTGCAAATCTCTCTTTGGTTTTATAGGGTCGGAAGTAAGATTTGATTAGGTCTTAAAAACCCAGGTTTTAAAAAGTTAGACTAACTGCTTTGGTGGATACTCCTGCAGTTAGGAGTTCAAAATTTAGATGGTGATTTTATAAGTGAGAATGAGATTAAGAAGAGAAGCTGCAAAGACTGAATGGGGTAAAGAGGCTTAAAGGCGCAGACAAGGAAGGAGAAATGGCATCCTTGGGACATCTGTATCCCTCTGGGAGCCATCAGCAGACAAACCACACAGTAATTTAGAGGGAAGTTTAATGTAAAAAGACAAACTATAATGGGAGGATAATTAGATACCTGGGAAGAAAATTCTGAATGTGCCAGGGCTGAGGGTGAGGACTTGGGAAGTGTAACCTTAGAAAGGGGTCCCTTGACCAAGCTGCAGTCTGAGCCTCAAGGGGGAGCTGTGGTCACAGCCCAGTGGATGGCGAAGTGCCCTGAGTGCCTGGACCGGGGTGGGTCCACAGACCCAGCAAGCAGGGAGCACGTTTCTGTGATGAAGTCAAGCTGAGGCTGGTGGGGGCACCCAGAGGTCACTACTGTCAGCATGAGGTTCACAGCGAGGTGGTCACCAGGCCCTGGCTTCAGTATCCCTGAGGGGGTGACTGTGAGTCAGAACACCCCCTGACTCACAGATGACTGTGGCAGATGACTGCCACAGTGCTATCACCAGTGAATTTTACTTGAATGTTTTTAGAAACGTCTACAAAAATTGCAGCTCAGATACATGAGTGAGTGGGACCCATTCCCTTTCTGGGATATCCCACCACCACCACCAGCACCAAGTGTTCAATAGGGGCGAGAAAGTGCAAACCACATCCCGCCCAGGAAGAGACCCCGCGCTCCTGCTGTGCCCCCTCAGTGCCCTCCATGCCCACGGTGAAGAAGGAATGCTTAGAGTTCAACCCGTTGTCACAGAGCAGTGCCGAAGGGTGAATTTGGATTTAAGAAGCCCTGAGNNAAAAAAAAAAAAAAAAGCCATGAGTTAACAACTGGCACAGCATCCACCCTGGACATGCCTTTGTCAATTCTTTGCAAACAATTGTTTCTTTGTTTAAAAAGTATAAGAGCTGCCTGCTTTGGTCATTTCTTTGAGTCTCTTATTTCTATGAATTTCATGTGTACAAAATTAAATTTATTTTTTCTCTTGTTAATCTTAGGTCGATTTAATTATTAGGCCAAAGAATCTAGAAGGAAAGAAGGAAACACTTCCCTCCCCCTATGGAT